TAACATTCAGTGGAGGCCTAACACTAAAAAAAAAAGAAAAAAGAAAAAAAAAAAAATACTTATTTTGAGCACCTATCATGATGCAGTGTTTGCAAGCTTGTCATGCAAACCAATTTGCAAACATTGCAAATCCAATCCTCAGCTGGCCTTGTACCAGACTAAACTGTAAATTTATTGTAAATAATTTTAAGGCTGGCTGAAGCAGCAATCTTAGCCACAGACAGAAATGAAAGCATTTTATATTATAAATATATATATATATATATATATATATATATATATATACACACACACACACACACACACACATTATTTACACATAAAATGCCATTACTATCTAAGATCAATGCTTGATAGGAAACACATTACATATCCATATATATATATGTCACCCACAGAGACTGTCCCACAGTTAATCAGTGTGGCTGGACATCCAATTGCCTCAAGCTGGGATCAAAACCTGATTGATTTGGTATCAGTTGGAGACTATCCCTATGCCATTGGTGCACGGCAGGGATGAAGGTGAATTTAGATGTATTTATTTTTAGATAAACTTGTCGGTGACCGGAGAATTGATTCATCTTAACTAAGAGTCTTTTATTTATTTTTATATATATATATATATATTTATATATATATAATATATATATATATATATATATATATATATATAAAAACACATACAAATGTGTGTGTTCTTAAAGACAACTGACAAGGTACTGCGATTAAGCTTTTTTATGGGTTTTGTTATGTATGCATCTATATAGTTATATACATTCAGTGAAAAGAAAAAGAAAATCATCCTCGATGATGGTTAAAAGCATTGGCATTGCTGAAAGTGCTTGGAAATGCAGAACATTTGGACAGTTTTTACATTTGTGCCCCTGAAAAAAAAAAACAGTTATGAATGTAATAGAAAAATATAAATATTATATATATATTAGTCATATTTAACAAAACATACATAAAAAGATATATGTATTTCACACACACACACATATATATAATTCATGAATCATTCATACAAAAAACAAATATAGAGGTTAATGATTTAAATGGCGAGAATACTTCGTCGCAACCAATATAAATAAGATACATCAACCCAAACCTGTATATGAATGATATGATCCCCGTTTATAAATTCCAGTTGCATAAGGTCTTAATAAGATGTAATCTGAAAAAATGCTATAAGAAATTGTTATTGTTGGAATTTGTGCAGTTTAACGCTTGAGTTTGAATTTTTTGTTTTTAAGGTTCTGCGTTTTTGTACAAATATAGCAATGTTACATCTCTATTTTCGTTGTCCTCTTATTACTGAGAAATACAAACAAGAACAAAATCTACTTCCATACCTGATGATGTCTGTAGGAACAGACGAAAGCTTGTAAAAAAATTAAAAGACCTTATGCAACTGAAATTTATAAACGGGGGGATCATATCATTCATATACAGGTTCGGGGTTGATGTATCTTATTTATATTGGTTTGCATTTATCTTATTCTTGCCATTTAAATCATTAACCTCTATATTTGTTTTTTGTATAAATGATTCATGAATTTATAAATTATATTTGCACCTTTTTAATTGAAATATATATATATATATATATATATATATATATATATATATATATATATATATAACTGTAAGGATGAGATTAACAGTTCATATTTATTACTGTATATTGAAGTTTATAAAATCCTTTTCTTAAGACAGTTTGTCACTGCTATAACTCATTTTAGTATTGATGCACGTACCCTCCCCAGTGCGGAAAGTCAACTGCTTGACTACACCATTATTTTCCCTTGGAAATAAATGCACTATCCATTTTTGTTTGTGTTTTAGATATGAGGACATTTGACTGTGCAATATGATTACAAAGTAATTTATATAACACTGAGAAGACAACAGGCTGGATTCAATTTCTGCTGATGGCTTTTGGGAAAAAAAAAAAAAAAAACTTAGATAAATCTATCTACACACGAGTAATAATATCTATGACAAAAATACACATTACAAAAAAAAAAAAAAAAAAAAAAAAAAAAAAAAAAAAAAATCAGTTGACTGTAATAAATAATTGGTCTACAATGATTTATTAATAGTAGACTTGGTTTCACTTTTTCCAGATAGATTGGCCAAGCAAAATTGGATTTGGTTTCCATGGAAATAATCAAAATCAGATCTTTGAGTAAAAATGTCCTTACTACCAGAACATGCATAGTATATAGTACAATTGTATTCATAAATTTGAGTTATCTTAAAACTGGTAAGATTATATGCCCCCCACCCCCAAAGTCATAACTAAGGCATAAAATGCATTTGAAAAAAAAAAAAAAAAAAAAAAAAAAAATGAAAGTTTATTTCATGATGCTTTTATTTTAGTTTTAATTCCAAGCTAATAAATCAAGTTTAATATTTCCAATAAGCAAAGTACTTTGCTGTATATTTCAAACTGAATTTAAATTGATTGGAAGGTTTTTTTTTCAGTAAAAACAAACCTGTCAAAACGACATAATGCTCTGTTAAAATATCAAAAATAAAATATACTTTTCTGAAACTTTATTTGGAGTTTAACTGATTCAATGTTTAAATAAAATATTTACCTTTTAGTTTAAAATATGACAGAAAAGCATTTATATTTACATACACACTTTTTTTTTTAAAAAAACACTGAAGCAGATGCTGATAACTATCAAACACTTATCTACATTGTTTGATGGATTCATTTTCTACAGCTTAGCAGCTCACTGCAGGTTATTTAAAGCCAGAAAATGTTTTAGATGGTAAGATTTTGAGTGGGGGGATATTAATGAATTAGTGATACGAGTTTTTAATTAACCCATCGCTGTGAGGGAGAAGAGTTGAATTCATACCTTTCCTAAGGGTATTTGCGTATATAAGTGAATATAATGAACACCAACTAGAATTGGAACTTTCCAAGCTATTATCTATTACACAACCCATGCATCCAAGTTTATGGCATCTGGTATTCCCAAGTGATCACCTATCTAGTTACTGATCAGTCTCAACATTGCTTAACTTTGATGATCCTACCGGAACCAGTGTATCTATGTACATAATGTAGCAATAAGCCCAGATGTTTGCAAGATTTATGTAAGGGGTAAGTAACTATAGTAAAATGTACCAGTCACCCATTTTAAGAAAAAAGGAACTTTTTTTTTCACTATGCAGTAATGAGTAATCTTAAATTTTTTTATGCTCTATTTGTAAATTATAATATAGGTTATATGTCTAAATATGTTACCTCTTTTGGATAAATAAGATCATATTCACATTCAAAAGGTAATGTATGAATGGCGAAATACTTTAAATAGTTACTATGAAGTTAAATAACCAAATAACTGACTTGGTTAGCCCATATTTTATGGCTATTTGAAATACCATGATTGATTTTGGAGAAAGAATTCCAGAAATAATATTAAAGGAGAAAGAAACATCCGGTTTTTTAGCGGACTGGATAAAAAACGTATGGCCAGGCATTATTTAATAATCACAAACGTCTACTTTGAATGGTTTGATCTTCATTTCCTCATAAATTTTCAATTTAACATTAAATTAACACTAAATATGTTTCCTTGGAAGAAAATATTACTAATGGAACCATGGGAGATAACTCTTATTGTTAAGCCTTAAAACGGCACGTAAATACTATTATTACAAAATAAGAATCGGTCATTTCAATCATTTTTACTACTTCTAATTTACAAAAGGAAAAATAATTTACTTGATAAAAAAAAAAAAAAAGCTTTTATGTCTATCTGTGAGACTCAAATTTACTAAATAAATTTGTGAATTCTTTTAGAAGATCACAACTTTTAATTGTAAGAAGATTTTGTAATCATAATGGCATTTTAAAATAAAAAAGGCATACATCTTTATTAATCGCTCAAAAATTTAAAAATGCCTTTGTAAAAGTAGAGCATTTTTTAAACTGAACCATTATAGGAGGAAACTTTTTTAAAAAATTTTTCTCAAGTGAGTAGTAAAACCTTTGAAAGAAATTAAAAAATTGTTTTTTTTTTATCATTTTTTTAATATTCAATTCTATAATACAAGTATTGCTCCACGAAGAAAAAAATGTTAATTTTACAACCCACAATTTTTAATCAATGAATAATAAAAAAAATAAAAACGTTAACTACAAAATAATTACGTTTACGCGATAAATCGAATAAATAGGGGTTAAAATAACATATTTTAAGACATTACACTTACAGACTAAATTATATTTTTACACAAAATCTCAAAGAATGGGGCCGTTCCTGGTTTGTTCTTGCCTTTAGGAGTTTAATTTGTAACGAAGACCATAAAAGCATGTGGAAAAAAAGATTTTTTTTTTCAATCTATGAATTTGCTTGCTAATTCAATTCGCACTCAATTCTATGAACAATGACATCATAATTGTTGGGAAATATACCCTGAACAAATAGATAACTATTTTAAAATATTAGTGTCAAACAGAAATATTAAACGGAGTTGTCAGTGCCCTAATTGTCGAGAAAGAAATCCTCAAAAATGGGGAGGCAATATACAAGAATTGCTTTTAAGATGACAATTCCAGTTAATCTTCAAACTTCAAAGACATGGCACGATTACATACGGACAGGGAAGAGACAAACGGAAATGATTGAAGAAATTCGATTTAGAACAGCTAAAGTATATACCAAGTTAGGAGATAGGGTATTTCCCCAAAAGTCTGAAAGAACTATGTTTAAAGGTATTTCTCACCGGTCACCAGAGCCAAACGCAGGAATAGTCAACAATAAAATTGAAAAGAAATGTCCTCTCTTCTTCCACTTAGGCAATAACGCATGCGCAAGTGCAGGACTACTGCTTCCGCTTCTTTAATTTTTAAAATTTTTGTTTTTATTATTTTATACCAATATATTTATAAAATAAAATCTGTTAAAATATCACAAATATTTTTAAAATTATGGGATTTGGTTTGTATCACGACTTCTGATGTTATTTGGCATTCAATGTTTAGAATTTTAATTCCCGCCAACCTCCACTTCCGGCTGGTTCACAATCGCGAGAAGACGCGTAGAACTGTGTTTGTAGTCTTGTTATTCTTTGGCATTACGGTTTCCTGCCTTTCTAGGTAAGTTCAAAATTACCTTTTTATGTTAAACTTTTACCTGACCTTCTTAATTATATACTAATTTATTCTATTTTATTGCGAGGCAGATCCTGTTCTTTCTTTCTTTTTTATTTATTTTTAAAGAGCTACCGGTGTTCTGAGAGTTGAAAGACTTTCTTTGTTATTGCCTCATCACTAATCACCTAAATGGCTTTCCCCCCCCTGATTTAAAAAAATCATCGCTAGTTTTTTTTTCATTAGCTGGAATATAAGTGAATGCTTATTCGTCTATTGTTGATATGTAGATTCTTTTAAGCATGAGGGGTTTATCTTAGCGTAAGTAAATACCGACTTTTGCCTTTTCACGTTGTTATTGTTGTTCGTTTCTTTTTTTTTAACGTTTCGAAAAGCAATGCACATTTTAGTTTCTCTTCATCTTTTAAGCCATTTTATTTTATTTTATCATTTTTTTAATGTATGTTTGAAATTCGTCTTTCCACATTTGTGAGTTGTAGAACACAAATTTCGCACTAAGTCTTTTTTTTTATCTGTAAAGTGAAAGGTTTAAATCGTTGATTAATGTAGTGAGAACTGTTTTAATTCAAAGTATAAATGAATTTTATTTTGCACACAAGCGTTTGCACTATATTTTTTTTTTTTAACTCGATTATTAAAAAAGATGAAATAAGTTAATAATCTGATTTTTCTCATCGGGATGACTAATAGTAATGACTTTCTAATTAATATGTTTAAATTAAAAATAGGAATATAAACAAACACGTGGAACTTAAAGACGTTCGGTAAGAAGAAACTACACCACCCCCTTTTTTTTTTTTTTTTTTTTTACTCTTTAGCTTTTTAGAGTATAGTGAATCAACATTTTAATCAAGATATCCGCAATCAGTTTTTTTTTTTTGTTTGATAAACTGAAAATGTTTTGTCATTTTTTTCTTATAAGTATAAATTGCCACGTGTTTTTATTTGGTGGGAAATTTAAATCACTTTAAGGAAGATAAGTCAATTTTAGACCTAAGTAAATAAACTAAATTCTAAAATTAAATGAAATATCAAAATAAATGTAAAAAAAAAATGTAAGTGGGATGTTACTCTTTGATAAATTCTTTCAATTTCACGGTATTGGTAATAGGCTAAAAAAAATTTCTCATCTTAATCACTTTTTGTCAATTTAACCTCTTTTCTACTTTTTTAGTCTTCCATTCCCGAAGTTAAAGTCCAGACTAATTAATTCATTAATTTTTATAAAATATCTAGCTTGGTTTTCGGCCAGGTTTACTGTATTTTATTACGCGGTGCTATTGCACTTTCGCATTCAACCCCCCCCCCCCATTGCTTCCTGCAATAGGGTTGGCCCGGGTACGTCAATCTGGACTGGAAACAGTTCTGTTTGTTATTGTTAATTATAATATTTAAATTAAAATATAAATCTCGAAAAACAAAATCAATGTTCGTAAAACCCTAACCAACGGGGGTGGGGGCAAAGTTTAATAGCGCCTATTATGCTGCTGCTCTGGATCTAGCAGCATGTTTTTTGGGGTGTTTAGCGAATACGGTGAATTGTTAATTAGCTTGGATATTGGAGAGATAGAAAAGAACGCAGAGAAGTATAATGAAAATTCAAAAGTAAAACAATATACTTCCTTTTGAAGAAATTCAAAAAAAAAAAACAAGTTATCTTTTTAAAGGTCTAATTTCTTTATTTTAATAGTCTCCAAATTTTTCCTTTTCGTGAGAAACAAAACTTCCTCTTTTAAAGCATCTCTCTACTCTGATACCCTCTCACAGACTGTTCCACAGAAAATAAAAAGTATCTTGATGCATGAGGTGCTCATTGTCTATTCTAATCATTCGCCGTGTGTTACTTGGGTCTCTTGATGACTATGTCTCTCAAAAATTACCACATCCTCTACTCGTCTCGTCAAAAATCCGAGCGAAAATTAAAGAAAAAAAAAACGGAAAAACTTCAGTCAACAATGTTATTGCGGTTCTCCTTTAGCTTTTTGGTTGTTCGTGGCTCGAAAACAGTAACCTTGTAACCGGAGATCCATCCCCCAGACCGCACCTCCCTATTGAATTAAGTTGGGTCAGTATGGTCAATTTATCCCTTTTCATATCTATGGCAATGACCAAATGGAATTCTAAATTTTTGGATAACCCACCATAAAAGTCAGTTTGGTGTCATATCTGGGGTTTGCGCAATCTATCGTCCACTAAAAACATTTTTCTATTCTCTTGTGGTGAATTAATACCAGTTTTTGCTTGGTATACCAATATTCCATTTTAACTGATCTCGTGTTATTGATTGTATAACTTCACTGTCTACATTTTAGGCTGCTCTATTTTTGTACTCTTGACATTTATTTGTATAACTGATGAGCTGTAAAAATTAATATATTTTTCAGCTTACCCAGATTGTTCTCATAGTTTTGAAATTTTCTATCATGACATTAATTTTTGTCTTGTGCTCTGTTTAAAGAAACTTTTTGTTGTAGATGTGCCATTGATCAACTCTTATACGATGGCTGAGAGACCTGAAGATCTAAATTTGCCCAATGCAGTCATCACAAGAATTATCAAAGAGGCAGTAAGTGACATTTTTTTGTTTTTAAAAGAGCTGATGCAAAACACCTGGTAGATTTATTTTGGTAAATTAAACCTGATTCAATAAAAATTAAATATCTTTGTGGTCAAGGAGACAAGGATAAATTTAGTCATTTTGCTAATTTTTAAACCAGTGATGGTAGGTTTTGTATTTTCTCTTTCTCTCTCTCATAATAGAAATAAAAATATTTCAATGTCTCTTGAAATTGATGCACTATAAACAAGATACAATTGCTTTGAAGCAAAATACTGCACTTTTTAATTTTTTAAACCCCCTTCCAAAAGACAGTTATACAAATAGTTAAGAAAAATGGCCATTCAGGAAATTTAGAAAAATAAGTATATAAGATATTTTGGAAAATATTTTTTAAATTAATGTGCATGCTTAGTTTTTGCTATAAGCTATAATAAAATACTAGCATAAATTAGGTCTTCTCTCATTACTACTTATTGCTACTGGTTACCAACAAATTTCAAAGTAATACTGAAAGCAGCTGAGTAAAGCATTTGTCAACATTTTATTTACACTTTAATAAAAAACTTAATATGTATGATGGCATTTTTGGATTAGTGGAAAGTCTCAGCATAATTAGTAACTTAAAAAAATTCATACTGTTACTTTTTTTTTTTTTTTATAACTTGCAATTTATAGAAGACCTTAGACTATTTAAAAAAAACTGATTCTTAAAAATAGTTATTCTTATTTTTTTCTTTTTTGGCAATATGTTATTAGATGTTGATGGTGATAGTTTCAGGTCTATGTTTTTTGTTTAGCATTAATATGATGAAGATTATAATGCTTAAATATTGCTATAGTGGATGTATTTTTAAGCATGTTCATACAGTAAATTGTGGGATAAAAGCTGGAATTTATTTTTTTTTTTATGGAAACAGTGGTCATGAACATTGATTAAAACAATAGGCTTACCTGCCAGCATCAACAGCAAGTAGGCTGTGCATAGCTTGGCAACTATAGTAAAAAAAAAAAAAATAAAATTCTCCTTTTTTTATATGGGGCATATGTTTAAATATTGATGATGTCCTTCAGTATAAGATAGATGGTAATTAATTTTACCTGCATTGGGAGTAAAGTCTGGGAGGGCAGATGTTAGTACCTCTTTCTCCTTAAAAAGAATGTCATAAATTTCAACTTCAAATTGATTCCTGGATTTAACAACTTGGCAATTGACCAATCCATAATTGAATGGCTTGAGAGGACAGAACTTATCTGTTGTCTGTGCTTGGTGAAGAAAGTTAAGAAATTCTCTTGTTCTGTTTCATGGTCTAAGCCTCTGCATGAAATGAGTAAATTTAAAAAAGAAAAAAAGAAAAAGTGCTACTATGAAAAGGACTTGAGGTGGACTTGTTCCTGGCCTGTGAATAGTTCATTACACACAATTTTCAACTAAGCAAGTTCCTGGATGTGTACCTTGTAGAATTGTGAATGCTTGCTACACTATTTGGGCAGATAATGTCTAAATTTGGCCTGTCATGTGCATTCATAGTTGGAATGCTGAATCATGTCAAGCAGTTCTTTGCACTTTGTCCAATAGGGAGTATCAATTCTGGGCAGTATTGAAAAATGAAATGGTACTGGTGAACTATTTGTGACTGTCGCACAAGTAAGCTCTAAATGTATTCAACATAGCATCTCTAGCCTGTTGCAGATGCTCTGGCTTCAATCACAATGGAAAAAATTGTTTGCATCAGTGTAATATAAGGGGTAATATGCTGTCTAAATAGTCCACCACAAGCAGTAGTTTTACCTACTTCATGCTGCTGGCAAGTATTGTATTTTGTTGATGTTATAAAGATTACCATTTCATTTCCAACCTTTGCTTTGGTTATTCCTCACTCAGTAACCCTCTCTAGGTTGCAACACGCTATCTACTTAAAGCATTTTCAAGAGTACAGCATTGGTAGACCCTGTTTCTTCTCAATTACTCATGAGCAAATCGATTTGTCATTTTTAGGAAAATAAAATGTTCCAAATGTTGATGGAAAGTTGGTAAACTTGTGTGCAACACAAATCCCGTTCATATTAATCGTGGACAAAATTATTGGGAGTTTCTTCTTTTGCTTGGACTTAAAGACATGAGTGAGTTCAAATAACTAACATCATATGCTTTACCAAGGATGATGTGCTTAATTGTTTGCATCGCAGTTAAAAATCAATGGGCTTGGTTTTAGTGCAGAATTCAACTGAAGCAATGTTAAAGTGGCTGGATGAGAACAAAGCCAGAGATTGCAAAGTGGCATGTCAAAATATACATCAAAACAGACTAAGGAGTTTAACTGCAAATATAGAAAGACAGTGGCTAGCTGCTGTCATATACCAAGAAAGAACTCTACCCACCCAAGTTTTTGATCCTGCTTCCAGTTATGGTGCAGGAGAACATAGTGTCTTGTAATAGACTATCAAGAAATAAATGTAAATGTTAATACATTTACAGCAATTATAGGTAAACTTCTCCCATAGGTTAAATAGTAACACTGGAAAAATCAAATTACAAAAATTGTTAATGTAATATTCACTCACAAAAAATATTCTTACAGTCTAAAATGTTTCGGCTTTAAATAACATGCAGGGTTGATAAGCTGTGAAAAACAAAGCAATCAATCAAGGTAAATTTGCACGATTCATTATGGCCATTCTAAACAGTAATGTTTGAGAGTGTAGGGATACTTCAATCAGTTGGTGTTTGGAATTCATATGACACTGTTAATAAAGATCACTTGTCTGTATTTTGATGTCACAAAATGAATCCATTCAGACTAAATTGTTGGCCTATAATGACATTGATGAAAGTATGATGCCTACAATGTGCCTTAGAAAAATTTGGGCTAATGTGCCAAGAGCAATTAGAGAATTTTGCTCAAATGTTGGGTAGGCAATAAACATTGGTTGGCAATGATTTTTACTTGAATCCCCAATGTTATCACTCAACAAAGTCTCATTTCTTTGTGTGATTGGTTCTAGGTGGCATTGATGTTCATAAAATGTCAAACAAATGTAATTAGATTGGTTGGAATGGTGTGAATTATGCCCTGTTCATTTGGGCAGTAATGGGCACCATTCATTGGGGTATGTCAGGATAATTCTGCATAATGTGATTTGTGCATAATTGGATATTCAGCATGTGGGCTGATGTGAGTTTTGGCTACTGAGGAATCTCTTGAATTTTGCTCTTGCAGTTTTATTAGAAAATCATTGCAATTTACTAATAGAAAAAAAAACAGGTTATGGTATTGTAATTTCTAAAGCAGGATACATGGCTGGAAATTTTGTCAGACTTTTGGACAAATTCTGGAGATTTGTGCACTAAGATTTCCACTGGCTATAATCAGTTTGCTGAATCTATTGTGCAAGATATGAAAGCTGTAGTTTTGTGTATATAAAAAAAAATACTGAAGCTTTAGCATGGTCAACCTAGATTAATGATTCAGCCAGTGGCAAAGCAAGGAATAAATGAAGGTTATGTTAAGTCTTGAACAAGAGATAAAAAAAATTATGGTTGAGAAAGATAATGTATCAGTTCATTCAGATAATGAATGAACTCTTATATCATGTCAGCCCTTGGTCATCTTGCTATTTGTATTTCAAATGCTGGTCATAAACAGAAGCACATTTACATTTAGAATAAATGACTTTCCATTCAACATGAGTTAGTCTTATGCAAATCCAAATTTTCTTATTAGTAAAATATGGATAATTTTGAGACTTTTTTCATCAATAAGTTTGTAGTTCTATATGTAAATATTTATTTTACATGAATATTTAGTTTTTAATATAAACTCAATGTATTTAACCCAATGCTTCACTATAAATCATATAGATTGAGCATTATGAAAAAAATGGTATATTTTGGATTTTAAAATGTTGACGATTCGAAAACATTCACAAAAGTATATTTTCAAAGTGATTATGTATTTTGACAGTTAAGCTTCATCAGATCAAAAGCAGAAAAATGAGTTGTGTATGTTTAAATTATGAAATTTTTTTTTCTTTCCCAAATTCACATTGCTCATGGCTAGAGAAAAGAAAATGTGTGGCTTTTTAAGAAGTCCAAACATTTATGTTCTTTACTTTAAGTTTGAGTTGAAAGATATCTTTCAGAATGGGTAGAAAATAAAAGATTTGTTTTTTTACATTGTATTCGCTTTTGATCTGATGAAGCCTAAATGGTGAAATGCATAATCAGATACATTTCGAAATAAAATATATGTTCATGTACATTTCCCAATTGTTACTATTTCAAAACTTTGTCAGGATCAGATATCCTAATTTTAAAACCTACTGTCGACACAGAAATAGCATGGATAAAAAAACAAAATCAAATCTATTATTTTTATTAATAACTAGTGTTTACATTTTTGCTGGATAACCTGTATATTGAAATATAATTTTGGTGATTTTTTTTTTTTTTTTTTTTTTTTTGCTTAAATGAGCAGCTATTGCCTGATACTTAAACTGGCTGTGTATGCAATGTTTCTCAAATTTGGCTCCTCCCCTCCACACACAATCACTCTCTCTTTCATTTTTTTTACTTTTTTTTTTTTATTTAATTTAATGAGGCAGTACTGTGGGTACCATTTACCTATTTTCATCAAAGTAGCTTTCATTTCAATCTTACAAGATTGAACAATCAGTAAATTTTAAGATATTTAAGCATGTGATGTTTAAAGCAAGATATCAGTCCATTACAAAAGCTATGAATGCTTCCTCAGTAAGCCTAGCATACTATAGAGGAGCCATTTAAAGAAAGAAATGATGGAACAAAGCTCAATAGCAAGGCTGCAGTAAGAAAGTATTGGTGACTTTGAGAGTCAAGTTTAATAGCATTGCTAATAAAGACATTAGCTTCAGCGTTCCAAGTTCTAATCTAGGACTGGTGTGTCTAAAATTTTAAAGGTAATTAATTAAACTTTTCAAAAGGAATCCAAAGAATAATAAATGTACATATCAAAATTAACACCCTCCCCTTAAATTGATTATATGAGTATATCATAATAAATAAATGTACACATAATATATTAAAAACAAAAATCAATCACGGCAAGAATCCTTAGGAGATTAAGATTATGCCTGTCCAAAATTTGACCTTGCAAACATTCTTTAAAAAAAAAAAAAAAAAAGCATCAAGCTTAGATATTTCATTAAATGTTAAATTATAATAAACAAAAAATAAATATAACTTTTAACTTTATTTTTTTTTTTTTTTTTTTTTTTTTACAAAGTTTTGTCAATAAATAAATCTTAAAACAAAATTTTTTTTTTTTTTTTTTAAATAAATCATAAAAACTGGAAACACTATGGGTACCAAAAAAGAACTTTGTCTCCCTAGATCTGGGCAATAGAACAAGAATTTAGATTAAATAATGTATTTAGTTTAAAATTCCCTGAAGTTTACACAGATGATTAACATGCACATAAATGAAGGTTGTGGGTGCACAACAGCTGAAACATAACTGTAAAAGATGAGTACATTTGTTTGATTGTAAGTAATGTAAATATTCTCCACGTCTAGGGAATTAAAACATTAATGAATTTGTACAGATCTGATTTTATACACCAATGGATATCACAATAACTTGATTAAAAAATTGACACATGTACATTCTTATGTAGGCTTATCAAGACATCTGTCAGTTTCAAGTGAATTCTCTGAACAAATAACATTCTTTAGCAGTATAACAATTAACACAGATAAAAATAGAATTGAACAATACTTGGATAATTCATACAATGAGGAATTTGAAAGGGTCAAGACTTGGCTAGATAGAAAAATTCTAGCAAATGAAAGAACAGTAGGAGTAACAACAATGCTCACTATCAAATGATAAAGGCAGTTATCGATATTGGTAATTGCCAGTTGAGTGCCTCTGAGAAAATCATGTTAAACAAGTGTCTTACCTTTTGATACAATCATCAGGTGAGTTCCATGCTTAAACAGGATAGTTCCAGTTGATGAAGTCACCTTGAAGATCCATGAGGCCAGGCAGATGGGCCTTATGAAATTTGAGACAACCACTACAGAGTGATGCTAATCTCCTTATACTGTCAGCAGACAAAGGCAACACTATAGAGGCAATTAACAAGTTGGGACATTGAGAAATTGGTGAACCTAGTTGGGGTTGGTAGCTACAGCTCTATGAAAAGGAATGCAACCCTAAAAACTGAGGAATTTATCACATAGCTTAACATTGGTGATCATACAGAACCAGTGATTCAACATAATGTGGTTGTAAGCTTTGATAGGAGGGTTTTGGCATATGATGGATTAGCTGGTACCAACAGAAGTATTGGGTACTTTGTTACAATTTCATTTACCAGTAGCAAACTGGGTCTAAAAGTATTAGTTGCCAGGAGATAAGGGAGGCTCCTCTCACAACTAAAATGCTATTATTTAATTTTCATAAGGAATAAATAAAATGTAATAAGAAATATGTTTGGAAAAGAAAGGTACAATTAAAACATTTATAGGGTGTGTATTTCTGAGGGTACATGTACACTGTAATTACTAACACCTTGGCCAGTCTGCCACTGTCTTTTACAGTACTAGTGATAATGTTTGATTAAATATTACTAGTCATGCTAGGTAGAGGTGACAGTCTGATATAAAAATTATGGCTTTTAGTAAGTAGTGAGTGTTGGTATTTATGGGCAGTAAATACAGTGTGTTATAATTTTATTAATTTTTTTTTTTTTTAATTTTATTTTTTTTTTAATTTTATTTTGTAAGTTGATATTTTTAAGTCTAGTTTAAGAGCAATCACTTGTGTTTTCCATGATCATTATCTGCAGATTTAGTTCAAAATTTTCACAATAAATTCATTGGGCATTTCTTAACCTTCTCTTTATACTATTTGAAAATGTCCTCTCATATTGGATATTTAACTATATGATCATTCGAAACTCTCTAGTAATATTGCTCTTTACAGCACCAGCATAATGTCATTTTTAAAATTACAAGACTTTTTGTAGTAGAGTAGGGATGGTTTGATATAACATTCTAATTTTGATCTTAGTTTTTTGAAATCTTTGCATAAGGCATAGGCTTTTTTTTTTTCTTTTTCATTCTCTTCATAGTGCATATTAAATTCTGTCAAATGTTTAAAAAAAAGAAAATTTGAATTTCTCATGAATCTTGATGTATCTTTTAACACCAGTTGTTTCATAAGTGTTTAAAATAGGTTTATATTTTGCTATCATTAATTATAAAATTAGCAAGAAAAGAAAATTTGTTCTATGGTTTAGAATGCATGTGATTCACTTCATTTTGTCTCTGTGTTTAAAGTTAACATTTGTGATTTAAATTGGATCATTGGATTATAAGGATGGAAACATGAAATTTATTTTCAAGTATCATGCATTAATATAATTAAAAATTATCTGCTGGGGAAGCTTTCAGTGATTCAAAAATGGAAATGCAAACCTAATCTTTTATCTGCCATTCTATATACTTTGTTTCTGAGCAAGTTGCATATTGATAATGTCATTTTCCACCTGAATTAATGAGATGAAGCAACTTATTTACTTTGCACATCAATGATAAATTATTTTAGGGTAGATTTAAGAACTACTAAGGAGTCTATATTATTTTTACTTTTAGATTCCTGATGGAGTTAATGTTTCAAAAGAGGCCCGTTTAGCGATTTCAAAAGCAGCTAGTGTTTTTGTACTATATGCTACCTCGTGGTAAGTAATTTTTTTTTTTCCTTAATCTCTTATATTTTTATATTTTTTATAAAATATGTGTATTTATCAAGCTTTTTTCAATTGTCCAGCACAAATCGAGCAATTACATTTCAAAGTAAGGTATAACAATCTTTTCATTATTCCTGCCTATGGCAGTTGTGTACAAAACATAAGATAATCTGCTCCAAAAAGCTTGGTTTTTGAGAAGCCACATCTATTTTCCTCTGGTTGCATCTGAAGTTGGTGGAGTTAATGATTTTTTGATCGCTGCTAATGTATCACTCTGAAGATGCTGATCCACTACTGTTGGCATGGTGAAGATCTGGAGGTGGCACCATTCTGGTCTGGAAATCTTTTGTTTGAGAGTCTCCTGCTAGTTTCACCACCTTATTCTTTGTTCTAGTTTAGAGTAATTTGGAAGAGGATGCCATGCCCTGATATTAGTGTTGGAAAGATTTCTATGCTCACTGGTTTAAAGAAAGCTTTCCTCCATAAAGTGGAATTACTTGTGCTAGGCACCAACCTGGAATTTATGCCCCCATGATATAGTTTTTACATTGGAGGTTTTTCTTCTAAACAGAATGCCTTCACTACAGCTAAGAACTTTTTCTTTTTTTTTTTTCTCCTTTGAGGAAGCAGAGGTTTGAAATTAGACTTCCCCTTCACAGACTGGCAATTTCCATCTATTAATAAAACATAACTTATAACATCAAAGATAAATATTAAACGTTAGTCTTGGTTTAATGTGAGCATCTATAGAAAAAATATTAGTAAATTGCTGATAGCCCTGAAAAGTGGACGGACAGGTTTGCCTATGAAACTCTGGAGTCGGGAAGCTGAAGGTAACCTCAAAGTGACAAACGTTACTCATATTAATCCTCTCTCTCTCTCTCTATCTATCTATATATATATATATATATATATATATATATATATATATATATATATATATATATATATAAATAGGTTTGAAACGGTACAAAAAGGCATTAAAATTAAAAACAAGAAATGTTTATTGTAGGCCATGATAAGTTTAAAACAAAAAACACACACCAGTCAAACCGGTTTTGTCCCTCTCGTCAGAACTGTTAACGGGGAACTAAGATTCTGAGGAAAAGAAAAAAAAAAGTCTGTCATGGATGATATGAATGAGTGGACGTGGAAAGAAAAAAAAAAAATTTATACCAACCAAGGTGCTAGAAGCGCAGAACAGCCAGTCCAAGCAAACAATCTCTTTGTTTGCAAAGAGCAGGTAGCCTGGACCTGATGTAAAGCGACTCCAACACCTTAAGATGGAAAAGTGAGTGCGAACTGGCCAAAACGGAAAACCAGTTCACACTGAAATCCATCGCACAAGTTGGATTCTTTATAAAGTGATCCATAATCGAAGAACCATACGTGTTATAAATAATGGTATCGCCTAAAGAAAAATTTTTATTCAGTATTATAGCAGGTACATGTTGTTTAATTCTAACGTCCAACCGCTGTGTCGTTCTACCTATGTAGTCGCATCCACAACTACATTTGAAATAGTAAATAACAGAGTTAATATGGTGGTGGGGTAGAACATCTTTACACATAGATGAAAGTACGGACTTAGTTTGAAAGACAACATGAACGTTCGCTGCAAAATAACACTCACGTGAACTATATGAAATACGCTTGGTGAAGGATTCACTAATCCTACTCAACCACGGTAAACGAAGATAGACCGGACATTTACCCACTGAAGCAGGTTTGATTTTGTTGAACCTGGCAGTCTCATCTCGAATAACCGATTGAACAATGTTCAACGGATAACCATTGTTCACAAAGATCTCAGTTAAACAACTGATTTCATGTTTCAAGGTGTCACCCGAACAAATCATTAACGCCCTATGTGTCAGGGTCCTAATCAAATTAATCTTTTGCTGTTTAGGACAAAAGGAGTCCCATCGAGTATATAGTCCTGTAAAAGTAAACTTCCTGTACACAGAGGTAATAAACAAGGAAGGAGTTCTTTGAACAAGAACATCTAAGAAGGGCAATGAACCATTGAACACCGTTGAGTAGGGAAAAAAATTGATCCTCTTCCGATTCATGGCTGAACACACAAAAAGTGTCATCCACATACCGAAAGTAAACCTTGGGTCGGGCAGAACTTAACAAAAAGGCTTTCCTCATAAAAAAACCCACAAAAATATTTTACAACACAGGACCCAAAGGGGAACCCATAAGACACCATTGATCTGATGATACTTGATATTAAAACTGAAATCGACAAACATAGTGGCAAATTTCATGAGTTCAACGAACACTTCTTCAGGTATATTCGAGGAGTCAAATCACGACGATATAACATATCGCTGCAAATATCAATAGTCTCCGATAAAGGGACACAAGTGAAGAGGCTACAGATGTCAAAGGAACACATAAATCCATCAGTGGCATCACATTTCGAATGAATTTGGAAAAGAAAATGAATTTTTTACTGTAATGCTGCAACACTGGTTGCCACAATATACAAGCCACGACTTTTTCTGTGAAGACCCAATCATCGATAATATGGGTCTCACGGGACAACCTTATGAATCTTGGGTAAATAAAGACGGGGATGAAAGAGCCAAGCGATCTCAATTTCCGCCATTTCAATACAAGAACACCACTTTTTACCCATTTGACAAGACGTTTCTGGAGTCGCTTTACATCAGGTCCAGGCAACCTGCTCTTTGCAAACAAAGAGATTCTTTGCTTGGACTGGCTTGATCATTCAGTTGGCAAGTAAATAAGCAGTAAATTCGACTTTGCCAACCGAACGATCCTTTGTGGCCAAGAGGTTAGGCACGTCAAGCTAAATGACGGTTCCGTATAGGATGCAAGTTTGAATCCTGTCAAAGGACGAATATTTTCTATGAAAATTTCCCGGACATTCAGGCCAGTAAATGTTATTTAATACTGTTTATTATAAACAGAACATTTACTTAAATACTTGTATCTATAAAAAGAATGTTAAACATAAAAATGTCTTTAATAAATTGTTGGACTTTGTCCATTTCTTATATATATATAATATATATTAGTTTTACTGTAGTAAGAATTCTTATTAATTTGACTTAAGAAAAAAAAATACACATATAGCAACTCAGGCACATGTACCCACTAAAAATAACATTTATATACTTTTTTTTTTTTTTTTTAACCAATTTTTCTGGCAATGATGGTCCAGTACATCTTTTAATCTGGCCAAATTTATAGCCAAGTGTTTGGATTTGGTGTAATTATCAGATTAATTGACCAGGTAGAGTTGTATTTAATAGTTTAATATGCATTCCTAATAGTCAATGACATTCTGGAGATAGGCATAATGGGTCAGATGTGGTTTATTTAACTATAACATTTTTCTTGGTTCGGAAAAATGGATAATGTGGAATGATTCTGGAACCAAGTTTGCTCCCAAAAATTGATTGTGTACCTGTGTTTGTGTGGGTGTGTGTATTTAATATTATGTTTTTATTTTTAGTTCCAATAATTTTGCCTTAAGATCTAAACGAAAAACTATCAATGCTCAAGATGTTCTGTCTGCTATGCAAGACATGGAGTTTGACCAGTTTCTGGATCCCTTGAAATTTTGTCTTGAATGTAAGTATGATTTGAATTTATTGCAATCATTCATATTGTTGGTAGGCCTGTGAAGTTCTAATTTGACTTCTCAGAAAAAATGTTTTGTGAATTTAAATAATATGCAAGTAATATTAAAAATAGGAATACCCAACACATACTTGAAATTAAAAGCTTATGTGATCAAAAGATAGTTATAAAGGTTGTTATATTTCAGGCATTTTGACTCTTGGAAAGGTTAGGTACAGTTTTCTCTGGAACTATTAATTTTAGTAATTTCCCTCTCTCTCTCTCTCTCTGTCTAGTTGGTTAATCTATAAAATTAATCTTCATTTTATTTCTTTGAAAGCTTGTTTGCACTACCTAGCCCAGGGATTGAACTCTAAATGGTGTCATTCACTATGCTATTTACAAAGATGGGGATGATAGTCTGAGTGTAAATACTGTAAATGATAACACCTCATGCCAGAAATTCAGACAAATTATTAAATAGATATGTACTATAACGAGTATTTGAGGTCTGAGTGACCTTATTGTATTTGTCATAGCTTAAGTTATTGCAAAATGTTTGATATGATCATGGTTCAATTATAAATGAATTAGTTAAAGAAGATTTATCTTTTATAATGTTGAAAATTAAGGAAAACAGTGTTTGTCTGGATAAATTTGTAAGCTATTTAAAACTTTATTTTAAGATAGGATTTCTAGTTCAGATGATGAAATATTATTCTTATATTCTTGTAGCATTCCGCCGAGAGCAACAAGGAAAGAAAGAAGCTTCAGAAAAAAGAAAGAAAGCTAAAGAAGAAACAATTGTGATAGATTGTGATGAGGAGGATGAAGACGAAGATGATGATGATGACGATGAAGATGAGGAAGAGGAAGAGGAAGAAAATGATGTTGATAGTATGGATGGAAATGAAGTTTATTCAAAAGATGAAGATTATGTTGAATCAGATGAAGTAAGTTATTTGAGAAAACAATGTTATTAAAAATTTATTGTCGCTGTGCATATTAGGTTGAATCAAATAATTTTTTATTTTCAACTTTATTCTTCCCAAACTAAAGTACAATTATATTTTATTCAATAAGATATATTCACCATTATGTGAAATGACTTGTTGCCACTTATTCTGCAGTTCTTCAGTAACTTTTGAGTAAAAAATTATGCCAGTTTTGATGTGGAAATTTTTTTTGGCAAACACTTGAATCTGGCTTTCATTAGATAAAATTTTCCCTATTGAAGCATTTTGTGGCAATCAAAAAAGCTAATAATTGGTTGGTACAAAAGATAAACAGACCAGTTGAGTTCCCAAATTTTTTTTCTGTCCTATTTTTGCTTCATGCAGCTTTGGATTGTTATGGAGGAGAACAATATTTTTCCTTTAATCCACTGTGTATGCTGCCACTGCCAGGCAAAAACTGGTATGTTAGCGTACTCCAAATTTAATAACTGTCACATGAATAGTAGTTGGGATGATGCATTTGTCATGACAACTGGTTCCCAAGAAATGGAGAAATTACTTATGGCTCATCCTAATAACACTATCAATGTTTTTTTGTTTTTTTTTCTATTTTTATTTTGTTATATGAGACTTAAGAAACAGGATGAACAGCAGATATTTTTATATTTAGAGCTCAATTTTATAATATTAAAAACAGTGTTAATATTTATATTAAAAAAAGATTACTTTTAAATGATATTTCCAATGTTGAAGACACTGGGAATATCATTTAAAACCGAACTCGCTGAAGAACAGAAATCTTACCAGGGGTAAAATATGTATGTATATGAGAGAGAATTAGTTCTTCTGCTTGATATGACCCTACAGAAGGATACTGTGAATATGATTGTCATGACATGTGAGCAGTGAGGAAGTCTTAAGGGTGATGGAAAGGACATATGCTTACAATTAGGAAAAGATAGTTCAAATTTCTGTCACATAATGAGGCAGGATGGCTTGAAGAGCTACAGAGGGTAGGAAACTAGATTTGTGATAGCATGTCCTGAAAAGACATGGCACATAAATTATTTCTATATCCTGAAAGAATAGCATCAAAATTATTTGCATATCAAAGAAACCTGATGGTTGCATTTTTTTTTTTTTTCCCGTGAAATTTGTATACATCCATTTATTTCTTATTTGATATGTTGAATTAAACTTTAGAAACTGGAGCATAGAATCTCTGAAAATAACATTTTTAAGGAAAGTGAGTTTTTGGACAGCTAAGAAGATATAAGGAAATTTTTCCCTTGTATATAAAAAAAATATAATGTAAAATGAACTAATTCTTCATATCATTTGTTTGTTTTGATATTCTATCAAGATTAATATTATACTTTTGTTAATTGCCAATTTAACCTTGTGATATCATTATGGGTTATACAACTTTTAGGTTGCTATTTAATGAAATGTCATTCAGACTGGATATGGGAATAGTTATTGCCATACAATGTGGAATTGCTGAGCTGAATTTGAATTACGATTTAATATATTTCATTCACTAATGTCCCTGGAAAAGGTATGAATTCATCTTCCTCCAGGTGTGGGTTAAATAACAGACTGGGTTCTCTTGCGTTTAATGGTAGCCAGTTTAGAAGGAAAAACTTTAATTCAAGCCCGAGAAATTTCTGGAAACTTTGTGGCACATTGTGTGCCATTTACCTGTTATCAGTTCTTTCAAAAACTGACTGGTTCTAATTCTAGTTTCACTATAATCATCTGAGTGGGTAGTTTAGTGGTACAGTTCTAAACTGAACTATTGTGTCCACCTAAGTTAATGCGAGAGTTTATTCACAGGAGGAGTCAGGTACAAGGAGCTGACCATTTTTCTAGCATGTTTATCAATGGATCGTATTTATGAGGACAACTAAATACTGCTGTTGAATTGGGTAATAATCTGGCAAATCAGTTTTATCTCTTCTATTGCTTTTCCTGGATTCTCTTCTTCATTAATAAACTTGTTCTAATTATGGACTCATTTGGTAACATTTTGATCAAAAGGCATGGATAATGCCCGATAGTGGAATGATGTTGGGACAAAAGGGTATACATTATCAAACCTCCAATTGTAGTGAACATGGTTTTCTAATTTTGATGCTTTTCATAGATTAGTTGCACAATGAGAATGGTTTAATTATCCCACTTCTTCATTTAGTTCTCTTGAGTAATTCTAATTAAACAGAGGTGTTAAAAAATAATTTTGTCTACACCCACTTGCAGAAATGAATCCAAGTTGTCCAACTTGGCCCATATATCTGATGTAGTAGGTAAAATGAGGCTTAATGTTTCACTATGAATTGGTTGGTGTCCCAGTGTTGCCAAAGACGTTTTCATGGTGTTGTAATTTGTCATTATTGATCTTTACAGCTACTATGTGTAGACATCAGCATACTGGTGCTAACGAGAATTGACATTAATTTCATCAACTGATGTCGTTGTGAAAACCTCTTTGAGATGTGGTAACTTCTTTGCCTCTGCTGAAGACCAATTCCTTAGAGCAAACAAAAAAACTCTGGATAAATAGCAATAAGTGTACTGCCTCCCGATACACATCTGTCTTGCATACGTGCATAGTTCAGACAGCCAGATAAATGCCTTATGGCAATCAAAATTCTGTTCATCGGCAGGTTTTTTGAAAGTCGAAATGGTGAGACTAGAAAAGGAAATAAATACTAACTTGGTACTAGTTTAGTCATAATAATAAACCAGTTAAAAAAGAAGAAAAAAAAACCCTGAAAAGAAGAAATGTGAGAAAGGGGACCAAAAGCTGAACATTGACTGGAGACTCCAGGTCTAAATGGATAAAGGAGTTAACAAATTGTTTGCTTACAGGAATTTGTTTTACAGTTTGCAATAAGGAGTCTACAGGAAAGAAGAAAGTTAAGTATGAAAACGGTCAGGATGTGGTGTTAGGGGTTCAGCATGACAAAGTACATCAGCAAAAATAAATGTATACAAAATGGATACCTTAAACAAATGTTCAAATCATAATACAATATTAAAGGTGACCAGTGTGGAGAGAAAATATTAAGAAGTGACCAGTGATGTTGTCATTTGGGGGTAGAAATTAGAATAAGTAGGGACTGTGTACTTTGATCTTATAGTTTATTCTGCTAGTTCTGGTAATTGCTACAGGCTATTGTTAACCAGAGTAAAAACAGTAATTTGTAGTTATAACGCACTGTTTTTTTATGCTATCTTTTTGTCTATTGAGGAGTTTGTCTCCGAGTTCACTGGTGGCAGTTGTGATGCAGTAGTAGCTCACTAGTTGTACTTGTGTTTATATAAGGAAATTTACAGAAACTTGACATTGATTTATTTCATATTTTTTATGGCATGTCAAGATATTGTATTGGACTTTCGTTGTTCAGAAACGTGTTTCATTTTGGGACCTTGTCAGGTTCAATATTTAATAATAAATGAATGAATTTGGAAGCGGTATTTAATGTAGCCATCCTGACAATTCTTCCCTTGAATTTAGAAAAGTTTATCCTGTCATCAAAGGTGACTCTGATCCCTGAATTTGTTTGAATTTCATCATTGTGTTATATCCTTTGAGTGAAATTAACAATACGATTCTGAAATTGAGAGGTCTTGGAAAAAAAAAATGGAAAGGGAAGTAATATTAATAACGCAGTTGCTAAATGTTAAATTTTAACAAATTCAACTTGGTTTATTTCAGGTTTGTGTTCTCCTAGAGCTTTCTCTGAATTCACTTTATGGCTTCTAATTATTACTTTTAATCTTTCTTTTCCTTATTCTTTTCAACACTTAATTTATTTCTCAGTTGTCTTTGCTGTTTAATTTTAAATATTTTCTGCTTCATATTATCAATAGACATTATCTTGCAATAAAAATATTAAATCAGGATTACCACCGTGTTACATCGCATGACCTGAACTCATTGCATTTCTGTGACCATATAAAAAATATATATTTTATGAAGTGTTAATTATTGTCTTATACATTATTTTTAATGCTTGTTCTTTGCAATACATTTGGGGTTAAGTGGAAGTACTTTTGAAATTTCTGTTCTCATGACTTTATTTTTTACAGTAAGTTCTTGCTTAAAACTGCGGTACCTGCTAGATTGTGTGTCTACACAGCACAAAGCCATATTTGCTGCAATGGAAGAGCTGTTGATCTCGGTTCCTGACTTGGCTGGAGGAGGAGGAGCTGGGAGATTGTCTAACCCAAAGACAATCATTGTACATAAGTAGACTCCAGTGTTTCACATACACACCCATCCAAACACACACTTTTTTTTTTTTTTTTTTTTTTTTTCTTTTTGGACTAATATGGCAAGGGGCGAAACAGGGTGACCAGCCCCTTTTTCTCAACCCCTTGTTGCCTCAATTGAGGTTCCTGTAAGCAGCTAGTTTGTTTCCTGAAGACAAGGATTTTTTTTTTCTAAATAAAACATTTTTCCATGTATATTGTGTTCATAGCTCTTTAATAACAAATGGATGGAAATGTATTTGAGATTTTTTTTTTTTTTTTTTTTTTTTTTTGTTAAAATTATGAACATTTTAAAAATATTTTACCTCTATCAAATTTTTTTCAAAAGGCAAATATGATTTGAAGAAAAGACAGACTGAATAAATTTATTGCAATTATCAATAAGACGTATCAGGAAATAAGACTTTGATATTTGGGTATTGCAGAAGAGAAGTACAATATTATTCTTGCCTAACTTTATCAGGCTGTTGTCTCTGTATAAATATTAATGTTGTCTTTTGTCATGGGATGAGGGATTATTATTATTTACACATGGACTGTTGTTGTTCGACCCATCAAGTATATCAATCTGGGTAACCTGCAGGGGATAGATTTCTTATTCCACTACTCGTATGTAGAGATATCTCTCAGTTATTGCTTGCCCTAGTTCTACTGAGTTCAAGTACACACTACCCAACCCAGGGATTGAACTAACAATTACTATGTGACAAAATTCATGGACAAGTGCTTTAATCCACTAGTTGATTGGATTACAGTGTTGGTTCATGACTTTGGGGATATAGTAATTGTGAGTTCAATCCTTGAGTCAGGCAGTGTTTAACCTAGTGGAGAACAGTTGGTCTCTGTAGATTAAATAAAGCATCCAGTTTAGAATTTCCTGTAGGTTACCCAGATTGATATACATCTGATGAAAGCCAGAGAGCACAATGGCTTAAACGTTTTGATAACACCAAAGATAAGGACAATAGTCCATGTCTAAATAATCAAGAAATCTGTCAGACGCAGTAATAGATTGAAGCTGATGACTAAATTACGATTAAAATCATTGGATTGAACATACAGTGAGCGGCATAAATACTGTTACAAAAGTAAAAGCTCATAGAAAAACTATAATGTCAGCATACAGTTTTAATGCAAAGTAAGAATTGATTTGTTAAATAACAAAATCTTATTCAATATTATTCCCTTTAGTCTTTACTACATGTTGAATTCTTTTGGGAAAGTCACTGATGGTGGCATGCAGAGTTTCCATGGGTATTTCCATGTCCCATACTATCTTCAATTTTGCCTTTAGAACTTCAATATTGTAGTATCAGGTAGAACAGTCCTCATTCTCAAGAACTGCCAACAAACAATAGTCAAGAGCACTGTTATCTCGTGATGGGGCCAGGACAATTTTTTTTTTTTTTTTTTTACATCTCTGTGTTACATGAGCAGTATAGCTTGTTGAACTGCCCAATGTTCATAAGTAGGATTCACCTTCCAAGATGTCCTCTATGTACACTCCCTTGTTGATCTTTACTTCTTGAGGCATGAAAACAAGGAGATTTTCCTCTTTCTGAAATGGCTGCCCAAACCATAACTAATGCCAGTTTTTGAGGCATATTTTGCTGAAATGGCAGGGACTGACTGATGACTTGTTGAAAGAACGCTATCAAAGTCTGTTCGGCAGTGAACAGTTTCTCATCAGTGAAGATGTTTTGCAGTATGCCAACACAAATCTGTTTGAGAAACTGCTTACATTGAAGGCTCTTTATTGCGGCTGAAAGAAGCTGTCTCTTGATTATCTTATCCCTAGATCATTTAAAGATAGTCTCCACATGCTTCTCTCGGATGTTCCTGCCTCCTTAATCAATTCTCTTATTGACCTTGGATTACACCTTATTTTTACATACACACATTTAATGGGTTTTTGCATTCTGGAGGTGCAAGGGCATCCTGGTGTCCCTCTATCTTTGATAGAGGAAGTCTTGTATCAATTGTCATTTTGATAAACATTCTATTGATTCCAAGTTTTCTTCCAGTTTTAAAAATCTCGGGTGGAGTTGGTTCATTTTCATGTTGCTCAATTATATGCTCTTTAATTTCTATAGATATTGTTGCAAATAAATACTAAAAAACTTTGAAAAAGCAAATAGTATGCATTGTTGGGCAAGTATCAAACCATAAACTGATGTAATGACCAAAAATTTAGAAACCACATTTATGCCACATCCTGTATTTGCAGTTAGTATTCAACTCCTTCACAATTTTTCCATGTATTTGTAAATTGGTTGTGTGTAAAGTATTAACACTTTTAATGACTTCTTTTCTTGAATTTATACAATCCAAGACTAGAAATACTTTCTGGACTGTGCAGAACTCTAACTTATTAAATAAATAAAAAAAATGCATCATTCATTGATTTTCATTAAGTTTGTTACATTGAAAAGGAGGAACTGTATAGGAAACCTTTTTATTGTTTTAATACAAATCATTAAAAGAAATAATCTTTTGCAATAAATTGGCATTAAACTCAACACCTAATCCATGGCTGGTTTGGTTAAAATGTTAGCATTCTAACCATGGGACCAATATTTGAGTCAATTTGTCACAGGGGTGACTTCTTGATAATATCAACTTGGGGATGCAATCACAGCAAGCAAAATTGTTTGGAGGTGCTAGAAAATCATACCACAGCTTGACCCAATATTTGTGAGTGAATTTGGATAGATATCAATGGTTGTGCTGGTAAGAAGTAACAGTTCATCATGACTAATGGCTTGAGCCTATTGATAGCTGCACTAGAATATGCTTTCTCTCAGCTAGAAACTATGGTCTGCTCAGCATAGTTCAACACTGGATTTTGAAGAAACACAAATGTGCCTGAGGAGCTATCTGCAACAGGGATTAGCTAGCTAATCTAGTAGAAATGAGTAACCAGTCAGTCATTATTAATCCAAGAACAAAGAAAAATTATACAAACTCCTTTAATTGGGGTGGAGGTGCTGGTTAACTCCAACAGTAGAAAAATTATAAATATCTCTAGTTCTGTCTGCAGCCAACTATAACTCGTAATGGTGTTAGTAATATTTAACACACTGATATTAAAAAAAAAATTAGAAAAATTTTTGCATTATAAAAAGAATGTGCAGGTTTGAAATTTTCATTTTTTGTTATCTATTATTACATCAAGACAGAATTGTCTGTAGTTAAATTGTCAAAAACAAAAAAAAAAAAAAAAAATAGCCATCCTAAGAAATATGAATGAACAAAAATAGTTACTGGATTTTGTAATTAAAAAATTATGTTCATTGGCAGTGATGTTCAAGTCTAAAATTGGAAAAAAAAAACAATTGCTCAGATATTTTATGTATAATTTTCTTTATATTTTCTTGTTTATGCACAATGCTTTTTTGTGATTGAGTGGTCAGAACTTTTTTTTCACTTTCTGACCATGAGACCCTGGTTTGAATCTCAACATAGTTGATTTGCCAGGAAGGTGATTTCTTGATGTTATTGTCTTGGGGAAGCAGTCCCAATGTGTAGCATTATTAGAAAATGCCTTGACAATAAGCCTTGTGAATGAATTTGGGTAAATAAAACTGTTCATCAATGGTTGTGCTAGCATGAAATCACAAGTCATACTGGCGAGGGTTTGAGCATACTGGACTTGTTCAAGTTGTTGATAATGCCAGATGAGCTGCTCTCTCCCAGGAACCAAAACTACAGTCTGCTCAGCATAGTTGCAGTATAAACCACAGGTGAGCTCTGTGGGTGTTGACCATATACAAATGTGCCTGAACAGGTCAAACAGATGGCGAGTGACCCTGACAGACATACATGAAAACAATTGGCCAGTGTAGAGGAAATTACAATTGAATTTCAATTAAAAAATAAATAAAATAAATTTCGTTTGTTTTATGCATATTGTCAATATCAGATGCAATTGCTAAGTAGAATTTTAAAAATTTGGGTATATTTATAATTTAATGCTGACAAAATTCTTTCATACTAGTAAAAAGTGTGAAGCAAACTAGCATTTTTATTGTATAACTTGGCAAATATTGTTTGATTTACCAAATTTATATCTATCAAAAAGCATTTACTTTTAAGGTTGGATTTTGTAAGCCCATTGCTTCCTTTTGAAAGCAATATTTTGCTGTAGCAATATAAATGCATTTCAGAAATTCTGAAAATTATCTCCCTTCGTTTTGTTTGTCATTTTAATTCTGGAACAGTATTCTATCAATTATACATGCATGTGTCATTTAGAATGCAGGTTGACCATCACTACTCTTTATTTACATCATTGGGACCTCTAGGCTGCTGGATAAAGATGAAAATCTCACTTTGACATTCTTTTAGAAATCAATTATCATTTTTTCAAAACTGATTTTAATAAAAACAGAAATTATACTGTTTATTTAAAATATTTTGAACCAAGCTTAACTTAGCTTTTGCGCCGAAAAAATGTAATTTGAAAATAAAACAAAGCAGGTCATAACCTTTTGTGTCACTTGACAGGTGACGAAAGACATTTTCATGACGTTTAGATAACTTACGGGAGGATAATTCTTTCTATGGATGGAAGGAAGTGAAATTATTTAGATTTAAGTGAACAAATTATTTACCTCGTTACTTTTGAGGAAAAACTTTCAGCGCTCTATTTTTTTTTTTTTTTTTTTTTTTTTTTTTTCATTAGCTTTCATTTTTACGTTTACGATGCTTTATGGAAAATGTATTATAAAGAAATTAAAAAATAAGGCTGTTAAGAGTGAGATTAAATTTCATAAAAAAGGTATCTAATTAATTTATAGGTACCTTTCTTATGAAATTTT